TTAATGAAATAATGTCAATAAATTTCAATCTATTGCAGAACATCTTTGTCTCCCCCCTACATCTGTTTGGCTCCAAAATCCTCTTATCTGCCTTAACACAGCCTCTTTATAGACCTGCAAAAGTGACACGAGATTTCAGCGTGTATATATAGGTATTTATCTGTCTTTGAAAGTTAGATATTATTTTAACTGGTTTTCTGTTCATTGCTAGATTATTTATCTGATGATATACATATACTCTATGCTGAAGAAACATAGACTGAAAAATGTTTTGGCAATGAGACAATTGTCTGCCTCTGAACATTGCCTCTAAATTTTGATGTAGCTACCAACAGCTCCCTTGCAGACTGTTTTTTTAACTCTGGCAGGCTAACAGTAACAACTTGGGTGGCTATAACAAGCCCAAAAGAAAAGCGTGAATCCAAAAAGTTGCACAAATAAAGTTGATGGAGTTTTTCCATTGTAATTCCCACTTGCATTACAATAAACTCAAAAAAATTAGAAGATTTCAATGTTGAAAAAAGTACTGGTTAAAGTACAGTGGTTAAATGTTTGCAAGGCAACATTATTTACAGAACCTTAGCATTGTAGGAAATGTTTGGAAAATCCCTGTCAGCATCCCATTACCTCAACCCACAAATGCCAAATTCATAGGGAAAGTGTGCAATGAACAAACGGGTACTCATAAATCTGGTGTTTGGACAAACTAATACTTCACTCCAAAATGATCTACCTAAAAGATCAGATTCATTCCCAGTGCTGTATTACTGTTTCTTCTGTGCTTAAAAAAAAAAAAAAAAAAGATTTTATAAGACCATATTTCATTTGTACCCTATCAATTAGTAGCAAGTCACATGTTATCCAGTGAAAACTCGTCACTTTGAATTATCTCATTAACTGTTCAAAGGCTGCCATCTGTCCTGACTTGGGGTAGTGGCCAGGGATTAGACATTTTCTGGTCCTCATCCCTAGTCTGATTTCACCAAAAAACACTGTATGAGAAGTTAAGTGACCAGAGTTTCTACTTAAGGAAAGCCCATGTGACAGACTGGAACAAAAGGGAGAGGAAAGGAGTTGGTTCCAGTAAAAACTATAATAAAAGTTTTTGGCAAAATTGAAAATTAATCTTTGAATAATTTTGCATAGACAGTCCCCAAGACCTACGTTTAGCATACCTTGGGATTTCATATGATAACATAAGGGAGAGGGACTGCTCTTTGGTGAGGGTCCTTGCAGGTAGTCAAAGGCCTGCAAACGAAAACGTAGTTCTGGGATTGAATAGTCCTTCCAACAAACCTCCTTCAACAGGCAAGAAAATAGAACAAATGCTTTGTTTTTCTACAATTCTTCCTTAATTACTGTACCAACTGCATGCATTTTCTTAATGATGTGCTTTTAGCAACATTCTGCAGTAACTAGGCAAGACGCCAGTTGACAAATTACAAAAAATACGTCCTTCTTAATCCCTTCATGGTCTTCCTTTTGGCTGGGGCCCTAACGAGCATGGACTGCTGTGTTGCAAGAATAAATGCTCAGCTGCGTGAGTGACTACACTGCTCCTTAGATATCTGGTATAATTGTAGATTAAAAAGTTGGTAAACTTACATTTTTACTGAAAGGGAAAAGTGAATGATTTCCTGGCAAATTACAAGTGGATTAGATCTCTTTATCGGCGTTTTTAATCCTGGACAGTTACAACATGGAAAAAAGATGCAGATTATATAAAGGATTAATCACAAATCTTATTAAGACAGTCTGAGTGACAGCAGGTTACTGTGAACTGAAAGAGCATAGCTTTGCTTTCAGCACAATTTCCATTAAAAATGACATATGAGATGTGAGGAGAGTCACAGTGTAAACCATAGGGAATATCCTTGGTGTAAAAGCACTCCAACGACCAGACATATCTGATTCTGGAAATAAAATATACAGCATCTGCAAAGGGAGGATAGGCTTTTAAAGTCCATTCAAGTATGCACAGTCCCCAAATCATCTGGTTGCTTTTCTCATCTTCTGCAAAAGTAGGATGTAACAGTACAGAGCTGAGATGTTGGTAGCTACCCATGCTAAGAGTATATTGCTGTCAGATTGTGTCCTTGTCAGTCATGAAAAAGCTAAATTTACTAACTAAAGCAATGCAAATAAAGTGATGATTTCTACTCTATTTCCAATTCCAAAGACTTCTTGCAAGATATTTTGTCCTAAAGAAATTAGGATACATTTTCCTCTCACATATAAGCAGCCTAAAGCAGAAGAAAATATATTTGGAAAGCTATTGAAAGACTAGAAACATTACAGGACAAATCTGGAGTTAGAATCCTGAGTTCCGTAAAAATGGACTAGGGAAGGCTTATTTACTTCAATAAAGCAGGTTACAGAGGAGTTATGAGAAGACTAATGAGAAAATCTTCATCAAATACTCCATTTCAGAAAGTGTGTATCCTTGTGACAGGGAAGAGGCAGGGGCAGAAGTGCGATGGTTACCTGCACAGACTTTATCCAAGGTTCAGTTCTAAGAAGAACAGAGTTGTGTGGGCTTCTGCTCTGCACTTTGTTTGCCAAGTCACAACACAGGCTTTGCAACAGGCCTATGTCTAAAGCCCGTGTCATCTGGAGGTAGAAAAAACAGCCAAAAATTAACAGCTTCTGCCGCCAGCTTTCAAGCACATGTACTACCCAGCCCCTGAATCAGCTCTGCAAACACGAGGGACTGTGGTGACCATACCACACTTTCTTGCAAGGTATGTCCATGGCTGTCTTTGTATAAAAGTTTGAAAAGAAGTGTCTGTGATGTGGTTTTGGTACTTGCATGGAAGTGTATAGGCCTTGATGTTATTCCAGAACTGCTTACCACCACAGGTGGTGGCTGAATCCCTGGTTAGATGAAGGAAAAACTTAAATATAGAGTCTGACAGCAAATGGTTCAACTTCATCTGCATTTCTCCTTGAACCAGGGAGCTGGCAGTGCTTACACAGTCCCTATATGGGTATCAGGCTCCCTGCCAGTATGCTAATTCCTATGCCTTTATTCCAGTTTATGGCTATGCCTTTATTCCAGTATATGGCTGCTGCTAAAAGAGGTGCCCTTGGGTATGTCCAGTGATGCAGAAGAAATGGTATTGGTATCCCTAGAGTGTGCAGGATCTTGTACAGAGGTTGGTGGCTTGGACAGGAGAAGAATCCTAAGAGGCAAACTAAGGATTGATTTTTCTGATAGTAGGATTATCCAATTTGTTGCACATTTTTGAGTTCAGCCTGGTACTAGATCAGATTGCTGAGCTTAGTACTGTGTCTCCCAGAGGTCCACAGAGACACCTGAGTGAAACCCGTGAGCTGCCTGTGGGACAGAGTGGCTCTTCTAGAGGATTAGTAGGGATAGCACATGAGGGCCTCATCTTCAGGAGAGAAGAACAAAATCTGAAAGGTACATTCTTTGAATGTACACTTGGAATTGAAACAAACTAGTCAGAGAAACACTTGTTTACTTTTTTCCCCTCTGTATCTATCCTGGGGTCGGAGTTTCCCAACTTTATTCTGTAGTTCAATGCAACAGTCAAATTTTCTATAGCTAAAATTGGATTAGTAGTTTCCACAAGACAGGATGATTCAAAATAAAGAACCTCTCCCTTTTTTCCCTTCCATTGCACACTTTTTTTCATTTGAATTAATATTGCAATTCACTTATTTCCATAAGATTTGCCAATTATTTTGGTTTATACCATCGCATATTTACTGGAATGACAGCATGATAGAGGAGCTGTGATTGTCACATATCTCATGGTTACAGAAAATGGAGCTTTTGTAAAATACGGTGAGACCACTGACCAAGTCACCAGGGTTGGCCGTGCTGCAGACGAATGACTGGCAGGAGAGGGAAGAACCACATGCACAGAAGCAAGGAGGGGAGTCTCTGGGGTAATAGCTGCTACTTACAAGAATACGGGGAAGATCTATTCTAGTCTTGGCACTGAGGAACTGCTGGGTGTGAAGGTCTCATGCCCTGCTGATCCTGAAGGGACGCATGACTCCGATACTATTATCTGGAAATTTTAAGGATCTCAGTAGCTCAGTATATGGGCTGTCTCTTAACAATCTGTCCAAACCTTTAATAGGCTTTCTGAGCCACTGCCTTACAATTTACATTCTAACAACTTACATTTTTACAATGCAGAAACAATATCTAAAAAATAATCCACTAATTTAATCACATAAATTTTTTGCAGTATAGAAAAATTCTCCCACTAGATACTTGCACGTTGTCAAATCATGCAGACACAGCAAAGTTTGCATTGCTATAGAAACAAAGCTGAAGTTGACTTATGTTGTGAAAAAGAACTTGCAAGTGACTGTGAAAAGTTTATAAGAATGACACATTTTGTGTTGATCTGGAAAAGACATGATGTAGCACAAGCATCATGGGTTAGAAGGCTGTTTTTATTTAGTTTGCCACAGAGACAGGTTACTTTCACCTCTACTCTTACAAGTCTGACATCAAAAGCTATCAGCATACATATATGAACTATACAGGTGGAGACACATCGCCAGTACAGTTACACTTCTGTCAAACACTTTAAGAAAAACAAATATGGTCCCTTTCCTGCCCATCTAATAAAAGAACTGCCAGGTCAGGATAGAATATTAATCATAATGTATTTTCTTTATAAGAATCTAGCTATATGGCAAAGACTAAAAAAAAAAAAAAAGCTGTTATCTAATGTTTAAACAAAACATACTTTATACATTTGGCTAAGCTGAAATATCATACCTTGCCAAATGAAAAAACACTCTCTAACCATATTTTCCCTAGCAGCTCCGTAGGTATGCAAGGCATGCAGTTAATTTCCTGCCAAGGCAGAGGAAAATGGGTAGGTCTGAGATAATATTGCCAGTGTACTTGAAAAAGATCTTAGTTGTTAATGTTGTAGTTGACTGCATATATATATTTTGACTGTCGGTCTCCTTGAAAATTTCCCAGGGACAACTTTTGGGTTGACTCCCTTTTAGCTCTCAGTGATGGAGGGCTCAGTGGGAGGTAGAATAGGACTTTCCAGAGCATTACAATCATCAGTGAGAAACACCAAGTCCTGGAGAAACAAAAGAGAAGGCTAATGTTTACAAGGAAGAAGCAAAATGTCGAGAAGCTCGGGCCTCGATCAAGTTTTGATAGTCAGGGAACAGGGTGGAGACAGAGAGAGCTAAAAGCAGAGACTGTGTCCCTGTTGGTGCATCTTGACCTACCCTTCTGCAGTAGGAGATCATGATGGTGTACAGGCTCCGAGCTTTTTCCTTCAGCTCACTCACTTCGAGCACTCTCTCACATCTGGGGTAGGCCACAAACTCACGGAGTTTTGCCAACACACAGTAATTCTGCAAAGCACGCAAAAGAGGTATGTGTAGCCCTGCACAAACACAGATTTATGTTTTTCATCCACCACTTACAAAATTCTTATGGCCTCCCTGGGAACCTCAAATTCCTACCTCTATGCATGTGTAATCTATGTAACCTACAGTTAGGAAAAGTCGCCATCAATATTTTACAACAAAGTTGTTCAGTTCAAATAAATGCTTGGGAAAGCACCTAGGCACAGTGTGGGTCTGACAGCTTTTTTCTCATGTGTTTAAGGAGGCAGCAGCGGCAGGCAATAAAATCTGCTGCAGTAATAGGCAGAGTTACCTACAGAATAGGTGTATTGTCTTACTTCTAAGGGAGCCCCTGATTTAGCTGGTGAACAGATTACCAAGATCTCACAGATCTCTGCTCCTGGACAATAGGCAACACTGTGAGAACCAGGCAAAATTTTTGTCAGAGTAATTTTTACCTCAGACTTTGTGTTATCAAAATAAAGCACAGATAACATGAATTTCACAACATCCTTGTGAAACAAGTAAATAAATACTCCAGCCCTTGCTTTAAAGCAAGGGAAACTGAGGCACTGGACTCAAATTGCTCAGCCAATAAATTGAAGCACTAGCAATTCTGGAATTGGGATCTAAAGGGTCCTGACTTGCAAGACTTGATGGTGTAGTTGTCTGGCAAAATATGTCAGACAACTCTTGCTTTGTCTGATACTTTCTACTTTTTAGTTACTCAGTAAAGCACTGGGAAAAGAAATAAAATATGTTGAATATCCCAAGGCAGAACACTATGACATAAACTATGTGTGCAGGAGGCTATTTTTTCTTTTCCAAGGGATGACTATTGCTGTCTTTTCTCAGTAAGACATTTCCATATCCTCAGGCATAGTTTTTGTTTCTGGATTCAACAAGTGCCTATTTAAAACAGGAAGAAACAGGAAGGCATTCCTACATTTCTTTTTATTAAAACTGCAGTGCCAGAAGCCACTCATGACATAAAATGAAATAGATTTTTTTTAAGTGAAGAAAGCTTATCCTGCATTTCTTCTTTTAAACTATTATTCAAAGTTTTGTTGCAAATATTTAACTTCTGAAAAGGCCTTAAAAATTATTTGTACATTAAAAATGTACAAATGGTAATCACTTCAAAATATTGATTTCCTCATTTTTGATTTTGAAATAAGTAAAATCTCAGAAGCTCCACAGGGATTTTAATAAAGTTCAAAATGAGATTTTTTTTTTTCAGTCAGTCATGCCTCTAGTTAATTAAGCTTTTAAAAATTCATTCCAAACCACTACTCTGAGGTATAATCTTAAGTTATTCTCTCTTTTCATTAGCAGTTTTTACTGCACAGCAGTAAGAAAAAAGTGTTAAAACTTACATGTATGTCCAAGTACAGCCTGGGCAGCATCAACACACATGAGTCCTGCAGGAAAGAAGAAAGATCCATTGCAATTTTGTTTTCAGAGGAACTTGTGTTAAAAGCAAGCAGCTAGCAGTATCTTTAGAAATGTTTCTAGGCACACTCACCACAGCTTTGGAGGTCTGTAACTCCTTGAATGACTCCGTGATTTCTTTGCTCAGAGATAACACCCTAGAGTAGCAAGTTGGAGGGGCTGTGTCGGCTAACAGGGCAGCAGAGAGCAGAGCAATCAGGCTCAGCAGCATCTTCATCGTGTGGAGCTTGTCCAAAGGGGGAGGAAGGGAGGAAAAAAAAATCACCGTTAGTGGTCAGGCAGCTACTGGTAAGCGTCAACGAGTAAGTTTGACAAATCAGCCCCCAATTAAATAGTCTCCTGCATCAATGAAAAAAAAAAAAAAGAAAAGTCTAGGGGTGGTCCTCTGAGCCCCAGTTTGCTGCTGTTTTAAATTTCCTGCCAACCTATGAGAAAGAGCTGCTAATGTTTTCCTGCCTGGAGCAGGGAAAGAAGGGAATGAGGGTAACAAAACCAAACACTGCTGGCACTTTTCATTTCAGAGAGAAAACAGTCTAATGAGCATCTCAAGCAGCAGAAATATGTGTAAGAAACAGCACAGGGCCCTGACCCTGTGTGTGCTTTGTCACATATGTTTGTTTTGTTTTCTCTCCTCAGCTGGAGAGGGGAGAGGCTCAGAAAGCTAGCAGGTTGAGATAGGGACAGGGAGAGGTCACTCAGCCATTACTGTCACGGGCAAAACTGACTCGATCTGGAAGAAAAAAAATTATTACCAATCCTATCAGAGAAGGATAATGAGACATAAACCCAAAACCTTCACCACACCTTTCCCTTCCTCCTGGGCTCAGCTTTGGTCATGATTTTCTGCACCTCGCCCCCAGCAGCACAGGGGTGTGAGGAATGGGGGTTATGGTCAGTTCATCACACATTGTCTCTGCTGCTTCTTCCTCCTCAGGGCGAAGACTCCTTAACAGTCTTCTACTGCTCCAGCATGGGGCTCTTCTCACATGAGACAGTCCTCCACGAACTTCTACAGTGTGTGTCCTTCCCACAGACCACAGTTCTTCACAAACTCTTCAGATGCACGTCCATTCCATGGGGTGCAGTCCTTCAGGAACCGACTGCTCCAGTGTGGGTCTCCCACAGGATCACAGATTCTGCTAGCAAGCCTGCTCCTCTGTGGGCTCCTCTTTCTCTCCACTGGTCCACAGCTGAAGAGCACGCTTCCCATGGGATCATAGCCTCCTCTGGCCATCCATCTGTTCTGATGTGAAGTCATCCATGGGCTGCAGGTGGATATCTGCTCCACCATTAACCTCTATGGGGTGCAGGAGGACAGCCTGTCTCACTGTGTCTCAGCCTGTCTCACTGTGATCTTCACCACGGGCTGCATGGGAATGTCTGTTCTGATACCTGAAGCACCTCCTCATCCTTCTTCTTCACTGACTTTGGTGTCTGCAGAGCTATTTCTCTCACATATTGTCACTCATCTCTGGCTGCAGTTATGCAGGCATTTTTCCCCTTCTTCAATACATTATCCCAGATGCACTACCACTGTTGCTGATGGACTCAGCATAGGCCAGCAGCGGGTCCATCTTGCAGCAGACTGGCATTGACTCCACTGGACATGGTGGCAGCTTCAAGCAGCTTCTCACTGGTCCTGAAGGTTAAAGTGGTAGATGCTTAGAGATGAAAGAAAAGGTGGGAGTCCTGGCTGTGAGGAATTTAGGACTGAGTATTGTGAATGAGCTGCTGAGTCTTAGTTTCAGGAAAGAAAGTTGCTTAGATATGTGATTGAAGACCCAGAGAAAGACAGAAAACCTTCTGAGATGATCCCAAGCAGCTGACTCATAGATCTAAACACAGCTACCTAGTGCATGTCCAAAGAAAGGATGCTGCTTACTGTGAGACTTGCTGGTAAAGAAACAAGCTCTTAATCATCTTCTCATTACTGTAAAGATTAGCAGAGGGGAACAGATTTGTGAACACCATAAATGCCCTCCTAGTACAAGAAGTCAGCAACACAGCTGCTTTCAAGGATGGTTTCAAGATTAAAGATTTACTTTTTTTTTTTTGAGATGCAAGGAATATTCTATTACTTGGTATTTTATCTATATTAAGCCAACAGTGATGACTCCATTTCAAACTACAGTTAAATATTATGCATCATGTTCTAAAGGATAGATGTCAAAGCGACTGTGACAAATGTGGCCTCATGGCCACTCTTCATCTCTCATGAAACACCAGCAGAACCATTCTCCATATCCTGTGTCCTGACCATATTCAGACAACTGAAAGCTATTCAAAAATTTCTTTCTTTAGGACGGGATAATGATAAAAGTGCCAACACTAACTTGGAATTACCTTATGAACTGAGCTATACACTGGTTGCCTAGGGCTGGAGAGACAAATGTGTTACTTCCTATAGCCAGACAAAATACCCTGTCTCCCAAGTTGAAGTGAAAGCCCCATACCATAGAAGTCTCACCCAGTGGTCACATCAGAGAGAGCCTGACAAAAGCGTTAAATACCATTTATTGCAGTCACAGCCCACAGCACCGAGAAGACATCCAGAGGAGGAAAACCCAGCACTTCCCACCAGTAGCACTGAGGAACTTATGATTTTTGCCCCAAAAGTGGGAGATCTAGAATTCATTTCTTTCTCATTTTCTGAAGGTGCAGAGTGTTGGGTTGGATGGTCCTGTTCCGAGGTAGTGACAAAGGGAAGGGAGAGGAAAGGACTACCACCTGCCTTTGCACTTCAAGTCTACATGGCTGCACACTTGCAGCCTGCATACCCATGACTCTTGCCTGAGAGGTGGGATTTACTCAACCCCACACACTTGCCACCAACAGGCATGGGAAATTACCCACCCATCAAATTTCTTCTTCAGAACAGGGAAATGCAATGACATGCTGAGAGATCAAGCTCTTCTTGGTCCACAGAGCAAGGCAAAGGCTGGATCCAAGCCTCACCAGAACATGTTAACCAAATAAAAAAAAAAATTACTCTCTATTTTGTGAAGGGACAAAACTGCTGAAGCAGTTTGCTCTGAAGATTTTTGCTCAGCTGCAGTATTCCTGCCTTGTGGTAACTCTTTGATCTCATATAAACTAACTCAAGTAAAGCCACTGTGCTGGATGTCTACTCAAATAGTTATAAAAATAAAAAACTAACTACCCTCTGAAATACCAGGAAAAAAGAATTTACCTTTTTTTTTGGAAGAAAAGGAATGACGAGAGTTTAATTTCCTCACCTAAATCTTCTCCTCCCTGGGCCAGATTACATGCATAGTTGACTCTGATCCAGATGGATATGGTCCAGCACCTACTAGCTCATCAGCACTTCTGAAAATCTCAGCATGCAGAATACGCAGCTCAGTTTAAAAAAGACAAATACTCGCTTCTCAGTTATCTTCTATTTGTATCTCATCAGCAAGATTATCCTTCAGCTCTACATATATTCAATTTATGGTTCAGATATGAGCAAATAACTCATTTTTCACTAAGAAGCTCACTGGTGACTTCAGGAGAATTTGCTAGTGACACCAGGCACTGGGAGTCCTTGCAGTCTAGGCACTTGGCACGACTCTGAACCACATACACAGTTACTGACGCACTTGAAACTCCAGAATCTCCTTTCAGTGACTTTTTACCCAGTCGTTTATGCAAAGCCACTTATTAATTCTAGTGCACACCCTGCCTTGGGCAAAGAAGATCTTTAACATGGAGAAACAAGCTGTTCTTCACAAAGACTAATGGCATCTCAGAGGCAGTATGCAAAATGGGCAAGGAAATAGTCTTCAGAGCTACAGGAGGGGAAGGAGAAAAGATCAAAATATGTTAGAGTCAAAACTTGCCTAAGGATTGCCTGGATGGAGAAGCTGCTATTTACAGCCCTTCCAGTCTGTGGGACAATGCTCAGGCTGGCAGTAGAAGGGAGCAGAGTAGGAGTCAATCCGTACCACCGTGTTTGTGAAGATCATCATAACATGCATGTCTCCACATTAGCCAATTAAATGAGCATATGAAGGCTCTGAGGATTCTGAGTTTTGCATCAACTTTCGAGGCTGCTGGTGTCACTACCTCCCTCAGTGTTATTTACAGTACATTTATTTATTCTTTTATAAGGAATATTCCGTAGCAAAAGCAGACACATGGGCAGAGAGGAAGCTTAGAAGCCTATCATGATGTAACTGCATATTTTTTTAAAAAAAGTTGTAATTGAGTGATGTTGTCCTTCTGTTTCAAAGTTACTGAAAATGCAAACAATAATATTTTTCTAAAAGTCAAAGGACTCACTGTGCAGGCAGAAATTCCTCCCATGTTTGAACAGTCTACCAGGGCCTCCAATAACTTTAGACAAAAGCCCTTTCAAGTTGCTGACTTCCTAATATCCACTTGTTTAATGAAAATGTTTACTTTAAAATAGTCAGGGGCTGCCATGAGACACCTCATGAAATGAGCTTCTGATTATATTGAAAAATAGGAAAAGTAAAATAGTGCTTTACAGAGAAACCCCTGCATGTTTAAGAATTGATTCAAAGCCCCATTACTCATCTGACTGTTGTGGAAAAAGTACCACTTCTTCCTCCAGAGCAGAGCTAAACTGCCCTGCAAGCTTCCATCTCAGCACAAGGCGTTTTGGAAACCCTGGAATTTTGACCAAGGTCTTAATCTGTTTGCTGTGTTTTACCTCACTGTGCAACAGTGCACTTTCTTAGGCCTTTATGTAGACACTAGCTCTGAATTTTGGGATAGGAGTTGTGCAGCCTCACACATTGCCCTGGGCCTTGGGAGTGCTGGTGCTCAACGCTGCCAGCTGCCCTTGTACGGGAGGGAAGCTGGGTAAAACAGCAGCATGTGCCTGCATTTGAAGCTGGGGTAACCCATCGTGGTAACCCATCGTGTTTCCTTTTCTCCTTTTCTCTTTCATCTTACCAATAAGTCTCTGCTGGTGCTCTTCATGGCTTGGCCAAGCTGTGGGCAATGGCCAAGGCAGGCAAGACCTCAGGACTGTCACCAGGCTGGTGATGCAACACTGTTCCCCCATGAGAGTTAAGGAAAATTCTTCTCTGCTTACTCAGTGGTATGGGCTTCTTTTTTCTACACAGTCATTGTTGGTTTTAAAAATTTACATATATATTGAGGAAACAGATGTTACTGCTCAAAAGCCTGTTCTTAGATAAAATGGGTATAGAAGCAGCTGAGTCACCTGGGTCAGAAAAAAAACCTAGG